GTAATATTTTTGTAGTTATAGAAAATGGAAATGATTCCATATGCATGTTACATAAATTTGCACAAAACCAATCTAAACCTTATCCATTTTCAATTGGTTCAGGGTATAAATTTGGCTTAAAATTAGAAATATTTTGAAGAGAGCCTATTCCAAAGTATACTTGGCTTTGGGCCCTGAACTGAATTTTGAATGTGACATAATTTTAACCAAAATTTGATTTCACTTGGAAAACAATGCTAGGAAGCCAAACTCAAAGGCAGGAAGCTGACTTGAAATGTGCCGGCTGCTTTAATTCTCATACAGTATATATATAGTATATTGTCTATATAGTCAAGTCCGTCGCTCTGTCTGTCTATTTCTGTGTAAGCCTGTGTACCTCATTCTAAAAGTAGCTCATAGAAACTGTCAAAGAACTCGGCTGTTAACTACCTACGTCTAGGTCTGCCGGATTAAAGCATTATAATATTGATTGGAAATTGAGACAATGTAAAAGAGAAACCAATTATAATGAGATTGTAGGGATATCTGCGATACGCCGAAGATTTAAATACCCTTTTAGATATTTGTATATAACGCGTGTTTCTGATTTAATGAAAGGTAAAACTGATCTAGTCTGGCAAAAGACATTATATCTTAAATATGTCCTACATAAATTTTTGTTTAACAGTATTCTTTCGATGCTTGCGTGGACATTTTCAAGTTTAACAAATATTTTGGCTCTGGAAGCAGATAAAATCGAAGAAATGCTCAAGGCTGTCATTGAAAGCGTGCAAGCAGGTCTTGAAAGCTAATAGATATGTGTGCATGTGTGTGTGTGTGTGTGTGTGTGTGTGTTGAAGTATCTGCGCAAATACATTTCAGTTTTGCTGTTGCTTTCCGTTATTGATGCGCTGCTGCTGTTTGTCATCCACAGCCAGGAGATAAAAATAAAAGTCTGCAGTGGCTAAAAGGGCATGAGAGCGGGCGCGGCGGGGCGAAAGGGGAGCGGTGTTGGGCCAGTTGGTCATCGTCTGATTGTTTGTATCGCCCCCTTTTTTTTTTACTTATTTAATATAAACTCGACACACATACACACACACACACGTCTCTATATACGCACACAGGCACAGTCATAAGCGGCTTACGCACTTCATGGCCCGTGTCTGTGTGTGTGCGTGCGCACGTGTGTGTGTGTGTCCGTGTGATAGTGCATGAAATTTATTGGCGCATTGGGGGCGCCACACTTTCGAGTTTTTGTGTCGCACTTGTATGAGTAAGAGGGGGGTTAGGATGCGGCTAGGGGGCGGGGCCGTGTCTTAGGCTGTTGCTGTCAAGTTGCGTCGCTTCTTTTGCTTTGGGGCCCAGTGCGAGGCTTTTATAATTTTATGCCATTTCTTTCAATATTTATTTTGTTATTATGTTTTTGTAATGAGTCCTTGTTGCTGTTGTTGTTGTCAACAGCAGCGTACAACAGCAACAACGTCGACGAAATTAGGACAAAACTGTTGGATGATGACGTTCAAATTGGAAAAAATTGTATACATAGATTGTAGCTCGTGTGTGTGTGTGTGTGTGTCTGTATTGCCGCCTCTGCGCGCGTGTGTGTGTGTGTGTGTGTATTGCCATGGAAAATTCCGACTGGCACATAAATTAATTAATTTTGTTTTTGCCATGGGCTTTAGCATTTTGTTTTTTTTTTTTTTCTGTTACGCTCACGATTTTTCTATCGAAATTTTATTGCTGGCATTGAAATTGGAACTACTTACGAGCGAGCGCTGTAACAGGAGAGGGAAGCGGGGAGAGGAGAACGGTGGGGGGGGGGGGTGAGGGGGCGACGTCTGTTTGTTACAGTTAAAACTTGTGTTTATTGATTTTGTGTGCTCATAAATTGAGCCTAGACTAAGTTTTATAATACAACATGAAGTGTAACAAAAAGTGTAGCATACTTTTCAGCTGCTGCTCAGGCGGCAGCTTTCCACGCACACAGACGCACACGTGTGTGCTGTTTACGGTTGCCAACTTGTACTTTGTGTATTTAGCTGTCCGTATATATGTACAGATATAGGCTATTTATATTTTTGTCACTTGGCTCGACTCCAGAGCGTATTTGTGGCAGCTTCTTGAGCATTTGATTTTCACATGACTATTTCTCTGTAGATATGCTGTATACTATGTCTGTGTAGTTGCGATTGATTTGGGCACATTTTAATTAATTGAAGCTCATATTTATGGCTATAAATAATTTGTCAGTGGCCCAGGCGCTCAACTTTAATTTGAAAAGCGATAAATAAGCAAGGCAGCCGCATGCGAGCTGCTATAGCAAAAACTACAATAACTACGCACACACACACACACATGGACACACACACGCATGCCGTAAAATAAAACACAAATGAAAGTGAAAAGAAAGTAAGGAAAGCATCTACAACAACAACAACTGCAAAAAGTGCTGAACGCAGAAAAGTACAAATTGCCCACAAAATATAAAAGCGAAGGCCCAAAGGAAACCTAAGACCCCACTCCGAGTCCTTAAACCCCAGCCCCCAGTGCTCGAGCGAAAGCCAACAAGAAGGAGGCAAAAAAAAAGTTCAATTTACTACTTTTCACTTTAGCATCCGCCGCGTCGCCCGCTGCCTAATACGAGACACACGCACCCAAAAGGCAACAACAACAACAACCACAACAACAACAAAGAAGACGGCAACTACTTCTATGGACACCCTCGTCTCTGAGGGCGACGGCGTCATGCGCCTGAAATTGGAGAAGCTGCCTTAGAGCAGCAGCACAGCAGCAGCTGGAGAAGTAGCACAGCATCCTTGAGCACATTCTCGCACTGGAACCCCGCCTCCTACTTACCTCGCACCGAAAAGTTTTTGCCTTTCGCCTTTGCGTTAAATTTTTCTTTTTATTTTGGAATTTTTCGATAGCCGCACCGTATCGCTCACACACGCACACATACGCAGATACTCACATGATTGTGTACGCACGGCTGTAGCTAGCTCATGCACACGCACTCACTCACACACACACGCACACACATACACACACTCATGCATAAGTGGAGGCGAGCACAAGCTACTCATTATGCTCAGCCTCATAAAGGGAGCTGGGCACATTAGCGCTATTGTAGCTTATGTGACACGATCACGGAAATGAATCGGGCTGTGTAACAAGTTATTGGTAATATAATTTATAGAATATATATAGGTAATTAATGAAAGAGAGAAAGTAGCTTAAGTAACATTACCTATAATACTTAAGATATCCAAAGCGATCGCATAATTCATATGAATATAAATAATGCACATAAATATATATACTTACATACCTTTAATTCCTTGAGTACAAACAGCACGTCCTTCATTTATATCCTGCAAAGCGAATTGCACACAAATGAGCTAGAAAAAGTTATGTATTAAGAGTATACACTATCAATATATAAAAAGAAATATAAATAATAATATATGCACATATATTTATATTTTTAAAGAATAAATCCTTTTGGGCCCAAATATAGCATATACCATATTTTGGTAGATGCCAATTTGGGGGAGGGATCAAATATAGCCCGCATTTTGTTTATGAAAATATTTACGATTTGCAATATTTTCAGCACAACGGGCAATTGTTGCTTAAAAACTGACTTGTTTTATTAAATGTGAATATGAGAAGAATCGTAAATCGAACCAAAGAAATCCATTTTGTGAGTCTTAAGTACAATTTCTCTATCTCTTCTTCTACATTTTAGGGTAACTAATAGTCGACTTAAAACTTCTCGCATGCTAGCTTCTTTTTGTTTAAGGTCAAGCCAGAATAAAATAAAATGAAAGTTTTCTACTTCTCCTACTTTTTTTTCTCTCGTTATTTTGATGAAAATTACAATTTTCCTCTTATTTTTCTCTCAACTTTCATACAAAATGTGCTGCCATCTTGTTGCTTGCTTCCTGCCTACTTCTTCTTCTACTCCGCCTGCTGCTCCCCTCCATTTCTCCTCCCCATCCCATTACCTCAGCTGCTGCTGCGTAACCATACATGTAGATAGGCTGTTGCGTGTGTGTGTGTTGCTCGGGGCAGTTTTCTGCTTGGCTTTGGCCTACAATCATCAACGCCCTACCCACTATGTGTGTGTGTGTGTGCGTGTGTGGGTGTGTGTGTATCCAATTGAAGGGGAAAATAGAGAAAAAAAATCTCAAAACGCAACAAACTGAACAAAATCCCAGTTTAGTTTGATGGCTTTGGTTCGGTTTCTCGTGCGTTTGGATAGCTGCCAAAGCAGATTGGAAAGTGAAAGTTGTGCCCAGCCGTACTTAATAAAATGCTGACGCTTCTGCTTCTTCTTCTATCTACCTGTAATCATATTCCGCATGCAATGCCTTACATACATAGCTAAGATTGAAAGTATTATACGAAATGTATATTGAGCAGACTGCAGGAGGAGTGAGGCAATGTCAACCCGAAGACTTTAGATATAGGCGGCATACGTAATATATCTCGAACAGGCACATACAGATAAAGCTTATGGTTACCTTTAGCAACAGCTAAAAAAAGTTGGGTATCTTGTTTAACAAGCTAGGTTTTCTTTAACAAATATATTTCTTTCCCCTTGTTTGCTTCCATTCTGTCAATTTTTTCTAGTTTATTGAAAATAAATTGAGTCTATTCGAATTTTGCTTTCATTCTGATTAAGCTTTTGTTAAGCTTTAAGTCTAGCCATTATTATGTTTTAAGTACTTAGCTTGACACTTATTTTCTTAACCAATAATAAAAAAAAATGTCACAAACTCTGACACAAGAACTTAAACTAGATTGCAAAGAAATAGATAGGCAAGAAAAATTACTCTCAGTATTTGCATGCTTAACGCTTATAATTCTCAGTTGGTTTAAGCGCTGCTTTAAACGAAAAGCTAGCTTGAACTAATAGACGATTGTCTAAGCTTTCGCTTATTTATTTATTTTTCTTGAAAAGCTTTTCGTTTCATCAGCTACATATATGGCTTTTTGAAATCGTTCAAAAGTTAAAAAAAACCTCAAAAAAATTTGTATTTATTCATTTTTTTTTAATGAAATTTTTATTTCATAAAAAGTGAAAGAGACAACGGGAAGATGAACAGCTTGGGTCAGCTGAAGCGTTGCCTGCAGCGCCGCTATCGAACTGTGGCCTCGGCCATTGTATTTGTTGCGCTGCTCACGTTCTTCCTGGAGCAGAGCTACGTGGGCCAGCAGCGGGATCTGCTGTACTGGCGGGAAATGGTGCTGCACATCAGCCATCAGCCGTGTCTGTTGTGCTGCCTGACCGCAACGGTGCTCTGCCCGCTGCTGATAATGTTGCTGATCCAACAGCGACTGATCCAGAGCATAGAGTACACGGTGGCCAAGCTGATGCGCCTGTATCGTCGGCGCAAGTTTGCCGACTTCATTGTGCGCCGGCTGCTCCTGCAGCTGGAGCTGGCCATGCAGCGCATGCCAGGGCAATTGGAGGCACAGCAGCTGCTGGACGATCCGATAACAAGGCGACGCTATCAGCTGGCCAGCGAAGCAGCCCATCGGGCGGTGGACATCTTTAGGCGTGACGCGGCCGCTCTGCTGTTCCAGGGCTATCGACTGTACCCCGAGGACACCACCTATGTGCTGCGGGAGGAGGAGCTGGTGCTGCTGCACGGCGGCTATGGCCAGATTGAGTTGCACGTCAACAGCCAGGTGCTGCGGCGTCTGCTCTATCCGCAGGGCAAGAGCCTGGCATAGTTTATACAAAATTTCTTGTTTGTCGCGTTTTCATTTCCCTTCTAATCTATCTATATATATATATATATACTTCTATATATTTTTAGTTATCACGTAAATAAATTTTGTTTAAAACTTATTGCCGTTTGCGTTCTTAAAACTCATTAGTGCAACTTTTGCAGCTCGCTCCGCAACCCCCCGGCTCTTGCTGCTTCGCGCTTTGCCCCGCTTAGTGCGTGTCATTCGCGTCATTTATTTAAATTGCCACATTTCGGACTTAATGTGCTTATGCCGCCGAAATAAAACCTAAAATTTCCACCCTCTGTGGAAAATGAATAAAAACGTAAAGGTAAGAAGGTGAGGCACGCCGTAGATTGAATACCCTTGCTGACATTTGCCTGACGATTTTGCAGCTATGTGAAAATAGTGAGGCTATTAAGTGCTGATTTTTTTTTTAAATATCTTGGAAAACAAAGCACCTATCGACCGATCGTTCCCATTGCAGCTATATGATATAGTAGGTCCAATCTGACATATGCAAAGTCTCTAGGCAATAGCCTTAAAACTGGGAGAGTTGTCCGCATAGAAACTGATGGACTAACCCACAGACGGACAGACATATATATACCGACTCGGCGGTTGATGCTGATTCAGAATATATATACTCAATGGGCTCGGCGATGTCTCCTTCCATGCGTTACATATTGCACGACGAAACTATATGATGCAGTCTACAAGGGTATAAAATAGTAACTAAAATATATTTTTTCTCGAACAAAAATCCATAATAAGTTAAATTATTAAAGTTTGTTGTTGTTGTAGTTGTTGTTGTTGGCTGCCTGGCGTGCTCTGTGGGTTTTTGACACGACGACCTAAGGACTAGCGCGCATTTGCGGCGCGACGAACCAATCTAATTGCATTTATAGACTATTAGATACCCTGTCAGATACCATACTAAGCCTCTGCACACGCCAGTCTGGGCATCGAACCAGCATCTTCTTTTAAGTGGGTTAACTCCAACAATTTATCTTACGAGAATAGGATATATCAAAAACTCGCTAAACTTAGGCTCCTAAAAGAACTGTCTGGACTGGTGCTCTGCTAAGATATTACTGCATTCACACGCTTAAAGTTCGAACCAGCATTTTTGCTGCTTTTTCAGCTGGTTTAGTTGACTTAATTATTAACTGGGCATTGTAAAGTGTTTGTGTAAGACCCAATTCTTAGCAATTAATAAACGCACCTTCACGTCATGCATACCCAATGACCAGTTGTGTACAGGGCACAGCAGCGACGACATTCGAAAATGGTGCCAAAGCATATGGTGACAAAATTGTTGCCGTTGTTTGTGTTCGGCGCCGCTTGTCGCCTGCCTCCGCCTGCACAATTTAATTGAGAGTCCAAATTATATACACAAACATACAAGAACATGGAGTATATAGAGCATATTTGATTGGGTCTGAACGCCGCAGCACTTATGTATTTTCGGCTGTTTTCTATATAATTTGTTGGCTCTGACTGCGTGTGTGATTGTAAAATCGATTAAAAACTAATTTTCAAGTTGTATTTTATCGTGTTCCCTTCCGTTTTTTTTTTCTGGCTTAATGACCAGCTCTGTCACAAGAGGTTTTATCAAATGACGGACTCCGGCCTGGCCAGCTCATTATGAGCACATCCCTGGAGTAAAGACAGCCCAAGTGTTGATGGAGCCAAGCAATAAGCAGAACAAACAAATAAATAAACTGAGAAACAACTTGAGTGACGCCCCTCGAATCTTTCTGTTTCTACATATTACATATAACACATTACATATTTTTGCCAAGTATTTGGCAAAATTATATACGAACAGCCTTTCAAGTGAGAAAAGTTGTTCCTTTCTTTTTGCCAGGGGGGAGAGAGGGTCAGCAGGAAGCACCCATCAACATCTATGGAGCTGTCAGGCACACACGCGCCGCCGGCCGGGACACACCCGCCCCCCTTGAGGCTGGCTGGCATTCCTTTTCCGGCAAAATGTTTCCCAATCTGCCGGCGCATTCTTTTATAAAAATTATTGATAAGAACATCCTCACATGTAATACAAATATTGACATACTCTGATTTCGGCTAAAGCATCCCACTGGGGTGGCAGTCGGCATGTGCGGGTGGTGGAAAATTTCCCATTTCCCATTTCCCAGTTACAAGTTAAAGCTGATGCGACTGCTCCGATCTGAAAGCAAATGTCAAGACTCGAAAAGTTGCTCAGCACCAGGCTGAAGCGTGGCTGTCTCTTGGCCAAATCGGCTTAGAAGTTTTCACAAACTAAACTGACGCGGAAAATCAAAGGAAAACCAAGCAGACTGTAATAATCAGAGATGATGACACGTTCGACTGGTTTTTTTCTGGTGCGCTTAAAAGGAATACATTTCGTCGATTTTTTTGTTTTTTTTTTTTTTGTTATATTTAATGGTTTAAATTCATACAATATATATATGTATATGGTTGTGTATATATTTAATATAATCATTAAAACACATACAATTTTTGATAAATGCTCGCTTACAATCGAATGACAATAGGAGTGTGGGGAGGGGAAACGGGAAAAGGGCTGGGTTGGAGGTAATGGGTGTTTTTGTTGTTGTTTTTTGCAATTTTGTTGCTTTTGATTCTGGCTCTTGATCATAAATGTTTGTTGCACATTACATATATATATATATGTATATATATATATAAATAATTACTTTTAAGTTTTGGGTTTTTTTTTGGGGATTTTCACACATAGTTTTACATAATAACAAAGTTTTGGTTTTTTTTTTTCGAAGAGTAAAATGTTAAATATAATATATATTTAAATATAATATATTTTTGTATGTATATTTGCCAATTGCAAAATAAAGTGTTCTTTGATTTCTCATATTTAATATAATTTTGATTTTCGCTCGTGTTTTTCTTTCTCGTCTCTTTTTTTTTGATTTTATGCTCGTCTCTAACTTAATTCAACATCTTGTTTTTTTTTTTAATAATAAATTTTCAATGCAATTTTGAATTTTGCCTAAAACTAAATTTTATTAAGAATTTTGATTTTGATCTCGTTTTTGTGTAGTGTTTTTTTTCTTTTGGGTGTTTTTTTCTTAAGTCTAATAAAATGTTGGGTTTTTTTTGATTTCTTCTCCAGCACTGCAGTACGTTTTGTAACTGCGGCCAAAAATTTTGATTTATGCTCATTTAAAAGGTACGTTGCAAGTTCTTTGTAAAATTGTTTACTTAACCATTTACACATATAAGCATGTATATATACTTATATATATATATAGTACTATATATATTCTCTTTTCAATTTTGATTTGTGCGCTCCATAACAGAAATTGTTGTTGATTAAAGTAATTCTACAAAATGAAATCAATAAATAGATAAATGCGCCCAAGCCCAGGCAAAAATACGGAAAATATGGAAAATTGGAAATCGGGCGGATTGTAATAATGTCATTTTATTTAATGGCCGAAACGCTTCAATTTGCATAAAGAATTTGGCAAATGGTGCAGAATATTTTGTGCTAAAATCACATTGCATAATCGCTGGGTGTAGCTAGGGTGAGGGGGAAGGGGGCGAGGGTTGGGTGGGGGTTGGTTGCTGCATGAAACACCCCGTGGAAAACGTCACGAGAGCCGTCGCGATGTCAAGTAAATTGCATTTTTCATTTTTCACATATACTTGCATTTATATTGCATTTCCTGCAACACACACACACACACACACACACTCACTTATATTTTTAAACATGCAAATTGTGGCAGCAGCCCGGACGGGGCGACGTGAAGAGCAGCGGGTCGCCGGGACAACTTTTTGGCAATTGTTTGCCGTAAAAATTGTTGGCCCAGGATTACGAGCACAATGCCAAATGCCCAGTCCATTATAAATTGCCATAAAAATTCAATAGAAAATATATAGAAAACGCGCAGGCAGCACACAATTTGCATGGCCAGACGGAATGGAGGAGGGTGCACAATTGCCTGCCATGCCTCGAGGGTTGCAACCAGGGGCAACAAATATATTACATATATATATATATATGTATATGTATATATGTGTATGTCTATGGAAAGTGTACTGACTGTAATTGCAGCAGCCAGCAGCAGCAGAGAGTATCGAATGTCCTGTGCGTAATCAATGAGATGAAATTTGCATGGACACGTGACAAATAATTAACGAAAAAGGCCGCGAGATTTGGCGAGGGTTGATTGCCGGACAGCGCCCACTGTGCGCAGTACACTCAGCGCAAAAAACAAGTTAGTTATCAATTCAATTAAATTTTGCTTAGCTCGGGGAATTTGCCAAATTCTTTCGCATAGACATTTCATATTTATGCTCGCAATTAATTGCGTTTTTGTAGCTGATTTCGCTGAGTGTACGCACACTTTTTAATCAATTGCTCGGCTGCTTGTAGATTTATTGGCTTTATGCTAGTACATTTTTTTTAACTACCAGCAGGCGCAGCAGCTGCACAATTTGAATTTTCCATGGACCGTGTGCTAAGTTTTTCCCTTTGCCTCTCTATTATGTTTTTTTTTTTTTGGTTATCGCATTTCTTGTTTTTGGTTTTTTACTAATCATTTGGAGGGTATTTTTTTCTTTTTTTTGTATTTATTTTAAGCAAATAGCCTAATCAGCGTCTGCGTGGGGGTTGAGCCGGAAGCGAGGCGCACACAACATACACACACGTTTTTTATGAGGGTGCCTGTGTGTGGCATGGATAACATAACTCGAGAAACAGCTGCTGCAGGCAAATTGTGTGGAGTATATTTAAAAAAGAAGATATTAACATATATATTTTCAACTGGGCATTGTTGACAAATTGCATACTGCTCAAAAATCAAATCAAATATCAATTTAATAATTTACACCCGAAAGGCGTTCAACCGGCATAAAGTCCAACAAAGTAGAAGTGGCCCCTATTTCTCAGACAGTACTTTAAAATAAAATAAATAATAAAAAAGGAAAAAGAAAGAAGGTCTACAATTGCGTGTGAGTGTCAATTGACGGCAATCAGTGTGAGTTTTTTAAGGGCTGCGATAAGATTTGGGTTTGGTTTTGTTTTTTTTTTTTGTGGCAAATACAACTTAACACCCGGGCCGCAAGTGTGGCACGCTTCGCGCCGGGGCTCTGGGACTTGGGAAATCAATCAAAGAAAAAGTAAATTAAATAAAATGGAAAGTTTAACAAATACACGTGTTTATTTTTATATATACATTACAAATGAAGATATTTAATTAAATGATGCAAATAATTAGATTTAATTGTAAATGAAAATTAAAAGCTAGTTTTTTGTTTTTTGTTTTTTTTTTTATGGTTTTTTTTTTGTTTGATTCGTTTTTGTGCTATTTAAGTTGTCGTTATTTGGTTTAGTTTTAGGCAGCGAAGCAATTTTGCTAAAAGGCACGCAGCATTTTAAAAAACACACGTTTTTAAAAAATAAAATTAAAAATAGCAACATTTGCCTCGCTGCCCGACTATGGCTTAGTTATGTTTAGCTTTTACTTCAATTACTTTTTTTTTATTTATATTTTTATGTCTGTTATTTCTCAGGCGCGCTGCCCTTTCAGCTGCGCACATTTTTTGTAAAGAACAAACGCCTTAAATACTACTAAATAATATACGAGAAATGTGCGCAGATCTGTGAAGAGAAACAAACGCGCCTGTCTTTGAATTGTTGTATATATATATATATATATATATATATATATATCATCTGTAAGGTGGGTACCGCCTTGATGGCCAGGCCATTTGGCTGAGACCCCAACTTTGACTAGATTGAGTTTGGGTTTGTTTAGTTTTGCGACTAGCTTCGTAATTTTTGGTCAGTTTTTGTGCGCGCTTTTTTTTTGGGAATGTTTTCTTGCTGGAATGTTCCACTTACAATTAAAACTAAATAATAAATACTTGTAACTAAATGCTAAATATATAAATTGTTGTGCTTTCCTTCTCCTTTTTTTTTTTTTGGTTTCTTGTGCATGGCTTTTCTGTGTTGGTATCATGAGGTAAATTCACTAAAAATTTCATTTACTTCTGCTCTATAGGTTTTTTTTTTTTGTTTGTTTATAAGCATAAATGTTCATATTGTTATATAAATTCATTTATTTAAATTATTGTTTTCAAGTCCGTCTGAGGTAGCATTTTTTATTTTTGTTTTTACTTTTTATGTTTGTTTCACTTGTTTTAACTTTCTTTTATTTGTTTATATATTTATTTCGCTTTTATTGTTATAGATTTTATTTAGTATTTTATTTAGTATATAAAAAGTACCAATGGTCATTGTACTTTTGCCCTGAGTTGTTCATGTTTGCCTTCTGCTGCTGCTGTTGCTGCAAAAAAATAACCTTTACTGGCGCCATTTTCATTATCTGTTCACACTGAATCGGTTCTATATAGCCCCGCCTTAGGTGTGCCCATCATTTGATGCGCTCTATGTACAGTTTGTGTGTGAATGTGTGTGTGTGTGTGTATGTTTTGGCATAGGGTGTACTACATTATAGATGTATGTGCAAATAATTTGTTTAAAGTTCAAGTTTTGTTCGAGTTTTCTAGTTGGAAATAAAAGTTCTTGTTTAAAGAGCAGAGCGGGAAAAACTTTTTGCTCATATTTATCTACAGTGTATATTGCATCTGTGTGTGTGTGTGTGTGTGTGTGTGACTATGGAACCTCGTATATAAGCACACCATGCCTATATTTTTTTCTTCTTTTTATCCTTACTTAGCTCTAGAACTGTCCTCCTAATTTTGATTTCGACTACTTTTGCGAAAGGTTTCGCTTATATTTTTGATTTTGAGCAAATTTGTGCATAAAATTGTTCTCTTATATGCTGAAGCTTGAATTTGTGTACCTCTCTAGTTTTTTGTTTTTTAGTTAGCACTACTAAATATAGTATTATACCAAAAATCCCTTAAACTAAGCGCACCGAACCCAGCCATATATCCATATACGCATGTGTGTGTGTGTGAGTGTGTGTGTGTGTGTTTGTTATTTTAAGCTGCATGGCTATGGCTACTACGATATATGTTTGGTTATATGTATGTATATATCCAACTACACACGACTTCCACTTTCTCCCTGCCTCCCAACGCTCCTGCCTGGCGACTTATGTATTATGTACGTATTTAATTTTCCTTTTTTTTTCGACTAAGTTACCTTTCCCCTTCAACCTTTCCCGTTTACGATACGTTAATGGCTTTTAAAAATTACTATTACGCATAGGAACTTTGATATTAATCACTAGAGATATAGATATATGTATTGTTTGGTATGTTATGCAGTTTTTTATGTTTATGTTTCTTTTTTTTTTCGTTTTCATTTGATTTTTATCATGTTATCTTGGTTATGGATTTATAAAAAAATATGTTTTTAGCACACAGTGTTGCCAGCTGAAACGGACTTGTTATTTGTTTTGATTATAGATATTTCATTTTTTCTTGTAGTTGCTTTCATGTTTAACACAAAACGCATTAATTTTGCACTATATATGCCACATACTTGTAGATCTGCAGATCTGTAATTGCCGTAGCTATATAGCTATTGTATATAAACTTTACTTTAATGAGCTCAACTAATATGCGCACTCAGTCTTTTGTAGTTCCACTATTTTGTCTTGTCTTCTTGTCGGTTAACGGGCTGGGGTAGTGGGACGATAACTGCTTGCCACCACTGTGGCCGGCTGTTGCTTTCGTTAAAAGCTCAATGACACTGGCAGACTTTATAACCTAATCAGAGGATTAAATCTTAAGAAAAAAAAAAAAACATCAAGAAAATTTGATTTTTCAAATAACTAGAAATCTTTGAATGAAGCAAAAAGCTCTCAAAGCTCATTAATGTCGACTTGCGCTTAAAGCTTAAAAGTTTTTTACTCGATTGAAAATTAAAGCTAAATCAATTGTGTTTTGTATTTCACGTGGCGCTCACTTAAGCTTCAGGCCTTCACTCCTTTTGATTTATGCCTGCGACTTGTATATTTTTTAAAAGGCATCTCTTGCTGTCCTGCTCTGACAGATTAATCCTATGATTAGGCATCATTTAAGGCTCGTGTCATTGTGCTATTATTGTTGTAAAAGGTTCTAAACAAAACGGTTGGGCTTTAACTTACATACGCTGGCAACACTCTTGTGTTGATTTTGGATTTGTGTGTGTATCGGTGCCTGTGGCCAACTCTGGGCAAGCTTAGGCTGGTGTTAGCCTAAAGCTTAGTGTGGTCGACTCCGAGGCGCGTACGCGCACCGGCAAATAGACGAGCGCGGGCGCAAACAGACCCTCCGCATCGCCGTCGGCGGGCGTCAAATGGAAGGCCTGCATCTGATATGCCTCCTCGGACTTGTCCGGCTGCGCATAGCTGGCCGGCTTGCCGCTGCCATTGGCCAGATCGCTGCACAGCTCAAACGGCGAGGTGGCCGCCGAGCGTTGGGCATTGATGCCGTTGGGCGTGCCGGGCTTCGAGTTGATGGTGCTGCGTCGTCCTGGCGTCGGTGTCACGGTTGCGGAACGCGCTTTCGGCGAGGCGGCAACTGTGCCTGGTGAGTGTATCGTTGTGGGCGTGGGCGTGGGCGTGGCAGCCTTTGTATTGCTTTGGCTGCTGCTGCTGTTGCTACTGCTGTTGTTGGTGGTCAGATTCGTGGGCTCGTTGTGCTCCACATCGGCTCGGTCGGCTCGCTCGCGGCCTGGCTTGGTCCTGGCCTTGCCCTGCACTAAGGCAAAGGATCTGTCTCGTTCGTTGCGTGGCGGCTCCGCCTCGGCGGCCACATGCGTCTCAACATCGCCTCCATTGTTGAGCAGCGCATGCGAGCGCTCGTGTATAAAGAGGAATGCATAGTAGGGCGTAGTGAAGGGACAGAGCGAGCACTGATATTCCTTGAAGCGTGGCGTCTGCTCGAACATGCCCGGCAATGGAAGCGGCAGCGGCATACCCTTGGGCAGCTGCATCTGGCCAAACAGCTGCTGTTGCGCATTCTGCAGTGCCTGGGCAAGATTGTTGGCTGGACTGACACCGGCGATGGCGCCAGCGGTGTTGCCATTGGGTATCTTGAGCGTGGGACTGTTCGGCTTGCTGCCGGCGCCGCTCTGTGGCTGTGACTGTTCCAAGTCGCGCAGCTTCTCGATGCCCGCGGCACCGTGCTCGTTCATCAGATGCGTGCGCAGCCACTTGGCGCTGCGGAACTGGCGGGCGCACAGCGGGCACAGCTCGTTACCGGCACTGGAGTCGCTGCCAATCGGCGTCAAATTAATCTCCGGCTCCAGCAGCTGTTGCTGTTGTTGCTGCTGCTGCTGCTGTTGCTGTTGCTGCTGTGCCTCGGCCTTGAGTCCGTTCTGGGCGCTGCCACGCGGCTGGGGCAGTGGAGCACCATCCTCGATGATGCCGTGCGTGTTGTGCTTGTGTACCCGCAAAAAGTACTTGCTGCACAGCTCCTTGTTGCATATGTTGCAGACGACGCCGCCGATCTGAGCGCCGTTCTCGATCTCAATGCCGTGCATGCGCTGCATGTGCGTCTTCATGAAGTACTTGTTGCACAGCTCCTTGTTGCAGATCTCGCAGTAGCTGGACGTCGGTGTTATGGTGTAGGCGGCACGCGGCGGCACAGCGGCAGCGCCGCCAGCAGCCGGCACCGTGGCACGCTCCGGCGTAAAGAAGCCCTCGCGCAGCGGACTGGTGCCGGGTATGCGGCCCAGATGCACCTCGGCGATATGTTGCTTAAATTCCTGTGTTGTGGCAAACTCGCGCTCGCACTGTTGGCAGCGCAGCTCATTAGCCGTCGATGTGGGCGTGACCGCAGCGCCGGGCGAACCGCCACCTCCGCCGCCGCCCAACGGCGACAACTTGAGCGGCAACTGTGGCTGCTGCTGCTGCTGTTGCTGGTAGAGCATGGGATGGCCCTCGGGCAGCAGCTGGCCAGCATGCTCGGTCATGAGATGTGCACGCAGCGCATACTGATGCTCCAGCTCCCGGCCGCACAGGTGGCACGGCAGCGGTCGCTTACCATTGAAATCGTTGAGCTGCTGCAGCATCGACTGCAGCTTCTGCAGATTCTGCAGGCCCATCGCTGAGCTGTCCAGCTTTTCCGGTGGCGTCGACTCGTCGTAGGGCTCCAGTTTGATGCGCTTGTGTGGCTGCTCCTCCGGCTGCTGCTGTTCCTCGGGTTCCTGCTCGGGCTGCTGCTCCTGTTCGGCGGCTGCCTTGGCCAGCATCAGATTGAGCGGCATGAATGGCCAGCCGGCGGGCATGAGCGGCTGCTGCTCCTCCTTGCCTACATCCTCGGGCGGCACAAACACGCCATGACGCTTCCATTTGTGCGTGCGCAGAAAGTAACGATTCGCGTACTCCTTGCAGCACAGCTCACAGAATGCCTCCGGCAGCTGGACGCCCAGACGGCGCAGTTTCTCCGGCGCGCAGCTGGCGTCGCGCGCCTGCTGCTGCAGCTGGGCCGGCAGCTTGCGCGGTGGCGGCGCAAAGGCCAGCTCCTCCTGCTCCAGGGTGAAGTCCTCGCGAAAACCTTCCGGCAGCTGATAGGGCTTCTGTTCGGAATCCGGCATGGGCTCCTGCTTGACCTGTTGCTGCATTGTGGCTGGCGGCTGTCCAGGTTGTGGTTGTTCGTTGGGGCTGCCGCGTCGCGTCGTCTGGGGCGTCGGTGAGGCTGTGGGTGTGGCTGGTTGCTCGTGCTGCTTGGCGCGATGCCGGCGCATGGCAAAGACGTTGGTGAAGCGCTTCGAGCAGATATCGCAGTGCACCGCCGGTGGCGCCGGTGGCGTCAATTGTGGCTCGGGCTTTTGTGTTGGCGGCAGCGGCGGCGGCGGCGGCTCGCGCGGCATTTGCAGCTGTTGGAACATGGAAGTGGAGCTGCTGCAGCTGCTGCTATTGTTGATGTTGTTGTTGTTGTTGTTGTTGTTGTTGTTGTTGTTGCTGCTGCTGCTATTGTTGTTGTTGTTGCTGATGTTGCTGATATTGTTGTTGGGCGTGGCCAAATCGCCGGCGGGATCAAAGATGCCATGCTTGTTGGCCTTGTGCGTCTTGAGAAAGTATTTGTTGCAGAACTCCTTGTTGCACAGCTCGCAATAGGCCTCCGGATTGAAGATGCGTAGCGGCGGCCGATTGAGCCCCTCGACGCCCCCAAAGCCGGGCATGCCCAACAGTGGCCAGCCTAGAGCAGCTGCCTCCGGCGGAAATGCAAAGGCGGGCGGCATGCCCGGCAGCTGCTGTTGGTGCTGCTGCTGCTGTTGCTGCTGGTGCTGCTGTGCCATAGCCTGCAGCCAGTGCTCGTGCTCCTTGTTGTTGATGGCATGTCCATTGGCCAGTTCCAACTGCTGCTGCTGCTGCTGTTGCTGCTGCAGCTCCAGCTGCGTGGGACTGTCAGCACGTTCCAGTTTAACTTGAATGTTGGCCAGCAAGTCCATGGGCTCGTCTGACGCCAACTGTTGCTGCTGTTGCGATGACAACTGTTGCTGCTGCTGCTGCTGCTCCTGTTGATGATCCTGCAGCATATGCAGACTGAGCTTGAACTCAGTCTCAAAGTTCTCACCGCACTGCTTGCAGTAGGTCTGATAGGGATTTATTGGCGATTGCTGCTGTTCCACTTGCTGCTGCTGTTCCAGCTGCTGCTTCTCCTCTGCTTCTGATATGTCTTCGGGCTGTAGCTTCTGCTGCTGCAGCAGCTCGAATGTCTCCTTCAGCTTTTCAATGGACTTGGGCAGTAGCATTTTCGACAGTTTCTCCTCGTAGTCGATCACTGGCTCCGCTGTGGCTGCTTTAGCGGCACCCTCGTCCGTCTCGGCGCCGCTCAGATTGAGCGCCTCCAGACGACTGGGATTGTGTTGCTTGCGTCGCTTCTTGGCCGCATCGTTGAGCGCCTCCAGCAGCTGCAGCTGCATGGCTGCTGCATTTGCTGCGGCAGCGGCCATTGCGGCCATTGCCGTTTGATCCAAAGCGCCAGCTGCCTCGACCTCGCCGTCGCCGTCGCCGTCGCCCTCATCCTCCTCCTCGCCATCAGCTTCGTCTGCCTCATTTGTGTTGCTTCCCGTGGCGCTCAGCTTGGACTTGGACTCCGCGACCAAGTGCGGTTGCTGAGTGGGTGACATTTCTGTGGCTGTTGTGGTTGCTGCTGCTGCTGCTGCTGTTGCTGCTGCTGCTGTGGCTTCATGTGGCTGCAATGTGTGATTGTTGTTGTTGTTGTTGTTGTTGCTGTTGTTGTTGTTGTTGCTGGTGCTGTTGTTGCTGCTGCCGCCGCCGCGATTTGTGTTGAGTGTGGATGAGTTGGAGACATCGGAGAGCGCTGTGTCCTCGCTGCTCAGATCCGGCGGTGGGGTGGCATAAATGGATGCGGCCATTTTGGATGATATTACTGTGAGAATGACAGCGACAACAAAAAGCAGAAAAGAAAGCATAAAGGACACTGCTTTAATTAAAGAAGCCCCAAACTAATTGGGTGTCTAAAGTTGCAGGAAGCTTAAGCATGCCAGCTGAATACGTGGAATACGTCGGGTTTTATTGGGTTTAACTCTAACTGGTTTGTGTGGGTCACATGTGCGCTATCCAGGCTGGGTATCGTGGTGGGGTTCCGGTTCGTTGGAGCCTACGGTATGAATAGCTTGAGGCTTAAATCGTGTTAAGCTACCTTCCTTCCTTCTCGTCTGGCTCCTCGCCTATGTGCTTAACTTCCATTCAATTTTATTTCTATTTGCCGCAAAAGTATGTTGCCAAAAATGTTGTACCTACACACACTAACACAAACACACACACTCACACACGCACAGCTGGCATATAACATTTTGTGTCTCATTTCCTTATGCGCTTAATTTCATTTTTCTTCTGCTTTTCTTTTGCGCTCTGTAATTTTTTTTCTTACGCCCAGCACTTTTTCATTTTTGTGCAAATTCTATGAAAAATTTTTCCATTATGTACACAAATACATGCGCACATCTCACACACATACGTATTTATATATATCACATATATAAAGAAAAGTTTTGTGTGCGCCCAGCTGCCACCCACAGCCGCACACATCAACAAAACCACATACACACACGTATATATATATATATACACATACACTTGCAACCCCATTGCCGCACACGAAAATTTATACAAAGTCATCCGATTTAAGGAATACAAATTTTGCTTATTTTGTGCGGCGAACACACACAAACTTTTTCTCCACCCCACACACCCAGACACCCACACACATATACACACACACACGCACACTCATACACGCCCAGTGTAATATTTGGCAAGCAGTCGCCCCCTCTGACACCATCACTTGAACTGCGCATAAAACTTATAAAAATTTTCTTCAACATGACTTGGTAAAATAAATTTGATTCTCAAGAAAGCAAAAGGAAGCCGACAACGACACGAAGACGGCCCAAAAAAAAGTGGGAGGCGGTGCGGCCGGAGCGTGCGGCAGGGGCAGACGAACAGGCACAGGACAGGCTGCCACTGGCAACCGTGTGGGGCAAGGGGCCAAGGCAAAGGCAACGGCAAAGGCAAAAATGTCGAAATAAACCCAAAAAAAAAAAAAAAAAAAAAAAAAAAATTGTAAGCGAAGAAAAATAATTTTTTTCCCTATTTTCTCGACGCGAAGGCAGGCAGAAGAAAAATATTCTCAACTATGCTGCAGACATAAATTAAGTTTCCATGGTTGGAAATTGGTTCTCTCGTAGATGTTGTTGCTGTTGTTGACTTTGCTTTTATACAATTTCAGCAATGAAGGCAAAAACCCCCCGCAAGCCGGCCACCCGACCCCACCACCCACTTTGGTACTTTGAGGAGTTAAGCAAGAATGCCTGCCAGAATGTGTGTGTGTGTGTGTGTGGGTGGCTGAATGTGGTTGGGATTTTTATAAAGCCTAAGGTAGTTTGATGTTATTTTATTTGATTTCTTTTTTTGGGCCAGCTCTTCGTCTACTCAAATGAAAATGGGCAGCAGCCGAGTGTAAACAAGTCTGGTACTTGGCCATATATCAAACTGATACTGAGCTACGAGCCGCAGCAAATCGCGTCTAATTAGCAAACTTAACAGTTATCTAGAGCTTGAGCTCACTTTACAACACTTAACATTTATCTATATATAGCATAAGAGCTTAAGCTCACTTTACAACACGTACTCATTAGATTATTAACAAGAAAAAAGCTCAGTTTCTTTAAGTTAAGCCAAAGCTTAACGCGAAGCTTTTCAGTTTCTGTCTTTGCGTATATTGCGAAATTTCGTTCAACTACCGTTACGCGTTTCGTTCACTTGCACTTTCGTTAAGTTCGCGCTCAGTTTATCGAGTCGCTGGCGCATGCGCACTTCGCTGCTGCTGCTCGTGTCCTGCCAAGTGGCTCGCTCGTTTACAACTGCCGCATGACGCAGCAGAAACGGCGAACACAACAAAAAATCAAAGAAAAAAAACTGTCAAATCGCAGTTACAAGCGCAAAATCAAAACAGCAAACAAAATTGATACTAAAATCACACACACACACACACACATGCATGCATGGAAATGTATCAATGCACACCCCGCAGCACATTTAATAGTTTTCCCTACACACACACACACACACACACACACACACAGAGACAGGCAGCTAGCTACCCACAGAATTTTTTCCCCATGCTTTGCACCCAAAAAACCTCAATAAAACACCCCAAAATATCAAAAATCAAATAATTTCCCTTAAAAAAAAAACAACAACAGCAACACAACGCGACAACTGAGCGTCGCTGCTCGGAAAACCATTATTGCTCCGCCCCTTTTTTCAACTTTTCACTAACCACCACACACACACACACACACATGCATACACAGTCACTCAAGCGAGCGCGTTATGTTGACTTTTTTCCTGCTCGTGCCAATTTATCATTGTTCGATAGTTTTTCAATTTGTTTTTCCAGCTACTGTTCTGTTGTTGTTGCAGTAGTTGTAGTTGTTGCTATCGTTGTTATTGCTTTCGCGACTTTTCGTTGGGTTCGCCCTTAGAACATGTTATGGGATTTCTCATATTCTTGAGTCGCTCGTTTTGCAGCACTCAATTCTTGTGTATTCATTGTATTCATATCTGGAAAGTGAGTGCATTTGACAAGTCCCATTCATGTAGTTCTTGTGTGTCTATAAATTGGAAACGCAGCTGATTGAAGCAATTGCCGCGCCCCATTCTTAAGCGTAATGTTGTCGAGCACACATCTCACTTAAATGTGGACTTGAGTAATTGCCGTCTTGTTTTGGAAGGTCTTAAGAACAGGGGTTGCATAATCTCTAATCAAATTTCTGTGCTAGCAGCCAATTGAATAGGTCTTTAAGCTGTGGGCTTTACTTTTTTGGATGGTTGAAGAGGGTGCTAAAAAAATAATGTGTACCTGAACTGAAAGGGTTATAGGCAAAGACAAAGACTCTTTATATTGACTTTGGCATGGGCCTACTTAGATGTTACACGTGTCAATTATGGTTAATTATAGGCTAACAAATTTAAATGAGTTGTTCGTTTAAAGAACCTGACGGAACTGGAACAAGACTCCAAATGAGGCTTACTTTATAATTTAAGGGGAATTTGATGGATGTGCTACAAATGTGAAGCATTCGAAGTCTGTGTATAATATTTGATGAATTTAGCTGTTGGAACTTTATCTAAGAATACATCTTAAGGAAATAAAAGAATATATTAGTATCCAGAACCAACGGGCTTACAGGAAAGGACAGAGAGACGAATGTGTACTAACTTAGCTTGTCGGCGCCATGGCCTGGCCTGGGATAAAGAACACCTTCTCGGGGCTTGGGGTATAAAAAGTTAGATTAATAGATTGTACATTTATCCCGTATTTATAACAATAAAAGCTCCTCTAGTTCCTCAAATATGTGCATCACTTAAACAACTCATCCAGCGAGAACTAACCAATATTATAGAAATAGTCCGTGTATCCCAAAGATTCACCTCACATATTTTTGAGACTTTAATCTGAATAGTTAGCCTGGCAGGTCTTGTGACTCAAGCGAATGACAGCTAAATTAGTTGGCTTGACTTGATCTGATTTAGCTTCACCTTCGCAAATTTGATCCAAAATGTATGCCCATTATGTATAGCTGCCCTGACATATCAAAGGCAAGTTTTTGCTTTTTTCTTACGCACTGATAGATTGATTTTGACTTTACAGGATGCTCGTCGATGTGGGCAAATGTGTGTCTCTCTCATGTGTGTGTGTGCCTGTTGGCCACACCACCCCTTTGCTCCAACAACAACAACAACAGCCCCACCCCCCCATTCGCTCTCCTGCAGGCACATGACAGCACGACGGAAAAGTGAAAGTGACTTGCCAGGTTCATCTCGGTCTCCATGTCTGTCCATTTGTCGTCCTGTTTGCCTCTCTATCTGTTGTCCTGCCATGTCCAATGCTCGCACTGGTTTCAGTTTCTGGACATGCGCACTGTTGGCCAACACATGGTGGCTGTTGCCTGCCCCCACCCGATCCCACAGCGCGCTGCTCTCTCGCTCGCGCTCTCAGCACCGGCTCAGTGTGGAGTCATATGGAACACATGTGTGTGTGAAAGTCTAAATCGCCGGTTGAACGAACCAGGCGCACAAAATAGCCCAACAGCAGCAGCAGCGGCAGCAGCAACAGCATTGGAAACCCATTGGCCAGAGTCAAGTTGGAGCATGGAGCGGCGGAGCTGCGTCCCAGTTGTCTGGCCACGTCCAATGGTCAAGGTTTGCTATTGACTTTCACTTTTCACATGTCGGCATGTCCGTGTGTCCGGCGCCAGTGTGACGTTGCGGTTGCCATCGGATTCGGTATAGCCGATGCCGGCACTTTCGCTTTCGCACACACGCACACATAATAGGCATTTGAGCGGGGCCGGGAGGGAGGTAGGTCGGTCGGTGGGTCGGTCGGTCGGTCGGTCGGTTGGCAGGCCATGATATTGGGTCAAGCGCTAGTAGGCGCATGTCTGTTGCTGGACACTACACGTGTGCACTCGAAATGTAAACAAAGGTACAACTCGAAAGCTTTGCCCACACGTAATTATAGCTTCCAGCCGGGTGACAACTGTCAACCGCCCGGCTGTTAGTTGCCCGGCTGCAAACAATCATTAAAGAATTTAAAGCCCAGACTGAACCGCTGTAAACGCCCCTAGCACACATGCAAATGTACGCCCACCTGGTTTTTATTTTCATTGGGTAGTTAACAATTGATATTATTCTAGGTACCCGTGTGTGCGTGCACCTTTTGACGCGCCCATGATTGATATATGCCTATGAACATGCTTATGGCCCCGACGCGCATATGGCATAGTTTATATGACACCCCCGCCCAGCTGGGCATATGCAATTAATATTTTGTTGAAAATCAAATTGAAATTACTTTTGGTAGCTCAAAACCCACCACCAGTTCGCCTGCAAAGTGCTGATGCATGTTTGGTTTTTGTGATGTGCGGAGGAGGTTTTGGTTGTGCGGCTCAAAATGTGTGTGCGACAAATTGATTTTAGTGTAGAGCGAGTTGCGGTTGTTATTATTGATGGAGTTCTGCTGCTTGTTGAGTGACTGATGCATTCGTTTTGGTATATTGAGTCTAGAACTTCATCAATAAGCGAAGTTTGCCAACTGCTATATTATTTGTCGAAGCCATTAGCTTAACTTTTAACTTTAAGTAGCACAAGCTATATTAACTTTTGGCTAAGACAGCATTCATGCATCTTGGATTTGGATTTTGGTCCTACTTTGTCAACTGAATATTAGAATACACACAAAGCGTCTTATT